TATATATATATATATATATATATATATATATATATATATATATATATATATATATATATATATATATGATTAAAGTTCTTCTAAGTCTCACATTACTTAGTTTAGTGATGGAAAAGAGAATTCAAGGTTATATATAGGATTCAAGTTTTCTTTATAAGATACACCAGTCAAAAACACTTTAAATTTGTATTTGATTTTTCCTTTTCTCTTGTGTTAGAGTGTTATGAGATGTAGTTAAATATTTACTTTGGAGGGTGTGGTTGTACTTGGGGCCTAGGTTAATTGGGAGTATATTATGTGTTGTAACAATTTTCACATGGTGTTATTCTCTGGTTTTCTATTGACAGCCATGATTTTTTCTTCGATTTTAGAGTTTCCACGTTATATCCTTGTGTTGTTATTGTATTCCTATTTTTTTCTCTATGTTTTTTTTCCAACAAGAAGAACATCATCGTCTCTTATTTTGGTGACAGCATGCTTGATTATCACCTTGTTGGCAAGTATAATTTTCTCACTTCTGAAACGCTCAATATCTGACTAGAGAGAAGTTTTGCTTCTGACTCTTAAGAAATCTAATTGCATTTCCCATGCTGATTGACAAAGGTCGGCACTCAATAATAAATGAGACATAACTGCCAATTTTGCTATAAAATCTCTCCCAAGACTCTTCTCATGTGAAACCTTGTATTCTTTGATGGCTTCTTGAAATGATTGAAGCATTGCACTACAACGATCATTGCAACCAGATATATCTTCAGATATGTACTGCAAACCCACCTGATAGCCACAATAAAGATCATTAGGATTTGAGAAATAATATTTAACTTATTAACATAACTTTTAGGAAAGAATGATTGTGCCTTTATCATTGTGCAAAAGGTTAACTGTCAATGAACTATACAATGTCACCTATGACCAATCTAAAACACCACTTTAGAGTATTGCTACAAGTGGTGCAGTTGTGCATTTCAATACTCAAAGCCATGCACATGACATAAATATATTTTTATAACTCATTAAAGAACTTGGAAACTTAGTTTGAACTTGAAATGAATTTGTCACTAGTGCAGAAATGACTTTTTACATCGGGTAAAATTGATTTTTTACATCGGTTTTGGGTCCGATGTAAAGTCAGGTGATATAGTAAATCAGAGACTTTTTACATCGGTTCTGGGACCGATGTAAAAAGTCCCTTTTTTACATCGATTATAATATCAGAACCGATGTAATAACCTGTTATTATGCACAGTTTTTAAAAAATTGATCCAGTTTTTTACATCGGTTGGAAGTAAAACCCGATGTAAAAAGTACCTTTTTTACATCGGTTATAATATATGAACCGATGTAAAAAACAATTATTATGCACATTTTTTTAAAAAATTGATCCAGTTTTTTACATCGGTTGGAAGTAATACCCGATGTAAAAAGTATGATATTAGCTATGATTTTAACTACCGATTCACTATGAAATTTTAAGGGTTCAAGTATGATATTGACCTTAGCTAGGTGGCATGACATATCAGCATCTTGCCACGCCGGCACTGCCACGTGGCGTGCCATGTTAGCATCTAGACATTGTTATGAGGGACTAAAAGTGTGGACGAAAAATATTAGGAGGACCATTCTTTGAAGAGGGACTAAAAATGAATTTTGAGATATTTAGAGGAACCAGAAACATATTTAACCAAAAAATAAGCAAAAAATCAAGATAAATCAAGTGTATGATTCCTCTCTCTCTAGATTTTTTGTGATCTAGGTTTTATTGCTTTCTTAGAACTGTATGTATTAGCCTTTAAATTTATGTTTGTAGAGATTTAATTATGCCTATGTTTGGTTAGATTTAGTCTCAAAATTATCACTTTGTTAAGTATTTTGTAAAGATGTAATCTAGGATGCTTATATATTTAATCTACATTAATTCAAACCTCTTAATTTGAATTTGTTGTGGATAGACCAAAGACCCAAATGATTAGGGCTAATCCATCTCAAGTTCAATCTACTCGACCCAACATATTATATAGACCACATGCTACGAGAAGATACACAATCTTTGATCTCAAATTTCACTTACTCTTCTTTAATACTTACCTGACTTGAGCGTTTGAGTGCTAACTATGTAGGTCCATCCCACGTCACTGTAAAGGAGATCGAAACCACATACTAAGATCAATAGTTTTCAAACTCTCATCATTTACGGTTCCTTCGATTGCTAGAGCATTAATTTCTGGTTCCCAAATGGAACAGTGGCGCTGTTTGTGGGAAACGACTTATGATTCCTACGATTTCCACGAAGATCACATTCGTTTCACGAACACCATCGAGCAAACACAAAAATTCATGATCTAGATCCTTGTGGTTCATATCAAAACCTTTAATTTACCAGCTTGTAGCATCCTCAAGCGCAACATCAGGAAACAAATCAACTTCCAATTTCATCATTTTTGTCAAACCTACGACAGCCTCTCAATTTCATCGTTCACGGTCCCTTCAAATCCCAAAGTCACGAGCATTCAGAAGTAGTCACAGAGATCCATCACAACCAACTCAGTCGATCTTGATTTTTGCCCCAATTTCTCATTGCTTAGATATCTAGTTTCCTTGAGAAATATGCAGAACGAATGAACGAGGATTACTAGTCCAAATCTAGGGCTTAAACCAAAATTTGGGGGCAAATTTGGCGAAGGTCGGGTTGAAGCCTCTCAATCGACTATCTGACCTGGCTACACTCCATACCATAGCCGGGGAAATTACTGGATCGATGCCAGAAGAATGCTATAAGTTCATAGTTAATATCAGGCGTATGATGGGTTCTGGGACACCCATTATCGGTACCAAAAAATCTTTGGACTACATCCAAAGCCTTCTTGGCCGGTTCCAATAGACTGGGGAGAGACCAGTCGTTTCAGTTGTATCACTGATGCATGACAATGGTTGATCCCAATGAAGGTCCATTGGAGGAACATCTAACCACCATCATCCCGTGGTAGCACATGGGGAAGGATAAGGCCTCAGACCCAGTGATGACCATAATGAAGGAGATATGAGGGAATTCTCCAACATGTAATCAGAGAGAAGACGTCCTGATACCTCATATTCTGTTTGAGACGGGGTAGAACAAATTGTGACTTTGTGCGTCCCTCCGGTCTAGCCGTCTCAAAAGAAAGGCTGGACAGGAAGGGCAATCATGCTCCTTCTTCATAGGTCGCAAAAGTCAATCCACACACACATCAACAAACAAATACGCAGCAAGGCACCTAAGGCATTTTCCGATTGAAAAGATGATTTGAAGCACGACATACATCCAATCTGGAGCAACTGGAAAGGACAAGAATCAATGATCTCGGGCCTAATCTGGCTATTCCGAGCTTACCGTCGGGACTATCCACCCCGTTGACCATTATTTTTAATTGTAAAATTAAATTGAATCTTACAATGAAAATATATGCATATGTCTCTTTCTACCTCTATTATATGTTCCTTTGTCTATCTCTCAGCTAGATGGCCCGAAACAGGAGAACAAAGATAAAGTACATGAATGTGTTTCTGATACAGGCTTAACACATTTATGTGGTTCTAACATGGCTTAAGTGTATTCTGAGCTTATTGTGTATGTGACTCAGACTTAACACATTTTTGCAAGCCCGATATGGCTTAAACACATTCCAGGCCCTACTGTGAATTCAATACAATTACTTAACACACATTTGCGATGTCGATACGGCCTAAAGAACACTTTATGATCGATTGTGTACCCAATACAGACTTAATACATTTTTGCGATTTTGATACAATTTAAACACATTTCAGGCTCAACTCCAAATCTGATACATGCTTAACACATTTATGCAATTTTAATACGCCTAAAACACATATCTCGTACATGAGTAGGGGTGGCAATGAGCAGGATTTGAGAAAAGTACTATAGTACTCGTCCCCATACCCGCGGTTTGAAAAAATCCTTGTACCCGAGCCTAAACCTGTGTGGGCACTAATATTCATACTACCCTATGGGTACCTCAATATCCGTACTCGTACCCGTTTACCCGCGTTTGTAGTAAAATTAAATCAATTAATTATAAAATATCATATAATTTAAGTTTTTTTTAACAATATTAAAAAAATTAAGGATGTTATTGTTGAGTTAAGAAATAAATAAACACTTTTATTAAAATATGTAACAGTTTAATAGCGATATATTTTTTTTAAAAGTGATAAATGTGTATTTTCATATATTATTATAAATGAAATTATATAAATATGTAGTACGGGTATGGGACGAGGTGGGTAGTAAGGTATCTGTGTCCGTACCCATATCCACTTATTTTAATGAGTAATTGTCCATGTCGGTATCCATTTTATGGATTTTTATCCTATCTATATTAGGCATCCTTATAAATGAGGCATATTAAACATTTTAATTTAATTTAAAATAAATTATACAAAATAAAAATAAAATATGCTTATCTATTTTATAAATAAATAAATCAAAACTTAATATCTAAACTGTTTTGCGTACCTTTTTAATAACTGTTGAGATATTAACTGCCCAAATCTATTTATTAAAGATGAGAAAAGAGGTGATGGTGACGGTGTAAATTAATTTTACATCAACCAATCATAATTTTGTATTAAAATAAATTATATTTTAATTTTAATTTTTTTTTAATAATAAGACATATTATTGATTTTTTATTGGATGACCGAATAAAATGATTTTATACTATTAGTGTATATAAATTAAACCCATAAAAAGTTTCAATTTATGGTGAATAATATAAAATATAAAGATTTAGCAAAAATATCTCAACTGTATTGATTTGAAAAATAGTTTAAACATCATAATAATTAAAGGGATATAACCTATCTTTGCTAGGTGGAAACGATTTGTTTTTTTAATTTTAAAAAAGATTTAGATATCATCGTTATTAAAAAATATATTTATACCAATCTCTCTTTCTCATTATTTACTTAATTAACATTTCTTTTGTTCTATTTTAGTGATGAAGATGCTTTGTTTTCACCCCAACTCCGAAATTGTTAACGAAGAAAAATTGAGTGATTATGATGATCTCTATCAATTCTATCATCTCAACGAGTATCAAATTTTCCCCAACACCAAAGGGTTCAAAGTGGATTATGAGATGAGAAAGAAGGTGATAGATTGGCTTATAGACTTACATTATAGTTTAAAACTCGTGGCCGAAACCCTATATCTTTGTGTCAATATTTTTGATCGTTTTCTTTCGAAAAACAATTTTGAAGTGTTAACGATAGATGGATTTAAACTCATTGGTCTCGCCTCATTGCTCATAGCTTCCAAATATGAACAAAGTAATGTGATCAGTGTTAGGGACATGGAATACATTGTAGAATACTTATTTACTTCTGGTGAAATATGTGAAATGGAGAATATTATATTAAAAGAGCTCGATTGGATTTTAACGGTTCCAACATGTTATATGTTTCTTGGTAAGAATCTAAGAGTGTGTCTTTTATCTGATAAAGACAAGATCATGGAAAATATGGTGTTTTTCTTCTCTGAAGTGAGCTTAACGCATTATTCGATTGTGTGTGACTATAAGCCTTCTGTGATTGTTGCTTCTGCGGTGTATTGTGCGAGAATTGTTATTGGGAGATATCCTCTATGGAGCAATGAGTTGAAGGTGTGTTGTGGATACTCAGAAGAGGAGTTAAGTTCTTGTGCTAAAGTTATGATGAATTTATGCAATGAAATTTGTAAAGATGGAAGCATGCAAGTTTTTAAGAAAATTTCAAGTTTATTAAGATGGAAGGTTGCACTTATAGCTAAACAAAAATTCTCAATAAATCGTTGTGATCTTAATGTTCATCTCAATATGTGAAGATGATCATATGTATCTAATTTCAGTGTTTGTAACAAACATCAGAACAAATTAGAAATATTTCTTTCATTTTAATTTGTTTCTATTTGGTTTTGAGTATTTTTAGTGTTCCTTATTTATAGCTTTCCTTTTTCCAAGTTAATATGTTTCCATTTTTTATTATTAATTAGTCAATCTATTTTAGAATGTTTTATTATTTATTATATTTTTTGAATAAAAAGTTTTAATTTCTAATCTTACTTGATTTTGCCTCTGAACGTAATGAGTTTTTATTAAATTGTCTTGTAAATTCATATCAGATAAGTGCATTAACACTTCAATCGGTAACACTTCACTTTTATATTTCTTTATCGTTAGCTTTTTCCGTAATTTTCTCTTTTTTTTTTTATGAATAAATATATAAGAGTTAATGTTCAATATTTAAGAAACATAAATAATTAAAATGAATAAAGAAAGATATTAAGACTTATTTAGAAGATTTCTCTATTATGTCATGATATGAGAATCATCTTAAGATTTAAAGTTTTGCTTGAGAGTTTGGAAGGAAAAGGGAGAGAGAGTGCTTCCAATAAATAATTTCTAAAAAATATTTAAGGATTTGTTTTAGCCGTTTCGTAATATCCAAATTTTGTATGTAAAATCTCTGAATTTTTAATGATTTATATATGACACTAGGATTTTCTTTTTAGTATAATGTAAAATATTCGGAAATCTAAAACTTGGTAACACCGGGATTCAGACCCAAGTGTAGAATGATATAGAGGTGCTACTTTTCCACTAGACTAGATAAATGAGTTTTTTAAATTTTTAACATAATATTTATATATGACTTCTTCATCTTCACATAGCTCAACTCTTTTACGGTAACCACACCATCATTAACCACCACAAAAATCTAACTCACTCCACCTGCAAATTGTTGGTGCAAAGTAATGAAGTGAGAGAGAAGAATGAACAAAAATGATAATAAAACTATTGTTGTATTATAAAATAGAGGAGATAGAATTGGGTACAAGATTGATAGCTAGTATAACATATTTATACTAAATATTGAAAATGGCAAAAGGCCCTATTAAAGAATAAGTATTGGGAATTGTAGATAATAACTAAATTATATTTCCAATACCATCTCTTAATTTAGATATTCTATCAGAAGCTAACAACACCAATTTCATCTCTCAAGAGAAGAAATTGATTTGTTTTAACTGCCTTCGTCAGAAGATCTGCTAGTTGTTTATGAGTGTTGCAGTGCAGAACTTCTAACACTCTTTTCTGTACTTGACTTCTGAGAAAATGATACTTCGTCTCAATGTGCTTGCTTCTTCCATATAGAACTGGATTCTTGGTAAGTTTAATTGCAGATTTATTATCAATCATCAGCTTCAGAGGTTCCTCAACTTCAACCTTCAGATCATGCAGGAGATTCAGAAGCCAAACAAATTGACAAGCAGCTACAACACCTGTGATATACTCAGCTTCACATGTTGACAGAGCCACAATAGGCTATTTCTTGGTACTCCAGGAAATGGGACCTCCCAGAAATTTAAACAAGTATCCAGAAGTACTTCTCTTGTCCACTCTGTCTCCACACCAGTCAGAATCAGAATAACTTATTAATTCTGATTCTGCTTTACTTTCAGAAGGAAACAACACACCATATTTCAGGGTTCCTTTGATATATCTCAGAATTCTGACAGCAGTTTGGAAATGAGACCACTTTGGATTACTCATGAATCTGCTAACCAATCTAACTGCATAACAAATGTCAGGTCTAGTATTACATAAATACCTTAGAGAACCAACCAGCTGTTTGAAGGTTATAGTATCAACATAATCACCAGCAGAGTCAGAATCCAATTTTTGATTGGTTTCTGATGGTGTCACAACAACTTTGCAATTCTACATCTTAAATCTCTTCAGATGTTCTAGTTCGTACTTCAACTGATATAGAATGATACCTTTCTTCGAGTACAGAATCTCCATCCCTAGGAAATATGTCATTTTTCCTAGCTCTGTCATCTCGAACTCATTCATCAGAACTTCTTTGAACTTCTTTATATCTTCTGGGCAGCTACCTGTTAGCAGAATGTCATCAACATAGAGACACACCAGAATCATATTGTTATCAGAGTGTTGCACATAGACGCCATATTCCATTTCACATTTCTGAAACTTCTGCTTCTTGAAAAACGAATCAATTTTTAGATTCCAAGCTCTGGGCGCTTGCTTTAGTCCATACAGAGCTTTATTCAACCTGTATACCATCCCTTCCTAATTCTTTTTCACAAATCTAGGAGGTTGTGACACATACAATTCTTCCTGTAATGGACCGTTCAGAAATGCAGACTTCACATCCAGATGTATTAAAGGCCAATTTCTATTTGCAGCTAAAGCAATCACCAGTCTGATTGTTTCATGCCTAGCTACAGGCACAAACACCTCAAAGTAATCTAGCCCAGGTTTCTGAAGAAAACCTCTAGCTACTAGTTTAGCTTTGTGCTTGCCAATTGAACTATTTGACTTAAGTTTCAACTTAAAAACCCATCTGACGCTGATGGCTTTTTTCTTATGTGGGAGTTTAGTCAATTTCCATGTTTTGTTCCTTTCTATTTCCTCAAGTTCTTCTTTCATGGCATTCATCCATTCTTTCTTCTTGAGAGCTTCTTCAATGCCCACTGGTTCAGAATCTACTAACATGGCACACTGAATGACTTCCCCTTCAGAGTCAACTTCGTTATCCTGCAACATGTCAAAATCTGCAAACCTGCTTGGTTTTTGTCTGATTCTCTATGGTCATTGAGCTTGTTCTGAAGCTGCACCAAAACTACTACCTTTAGAGTTTTCCCTTCTAGAACTATGACCACCACCAGATTCTGGATCATCATCAGTATCTAGATCAGAATCAGATCCACTATTAGAATCTTCTTCTGACACATCTTCAGAATCAGATTCATCTTCTGAACTTTCTAAAACATCTTCAGAGGCTAACTCTGGTGTTGGCACTACACCAGAATCTGATTGAGACTTGACCAATCCCATGTTTCAGACTCTTTTACTACAACGTCTCAGCTGACTTCAACTTTATTAGTTTCTGGATAATAAAGCTTATACGCACATATACTGTAGTACCCCCCCAACAACATTACTTTGCTTCTATCATCCAGTTTTTGTCTTCTAGCTTCTGGAACGTGTTTGTAACAGACAGAGCCAAACACCTTCAGATGACTGACACTCTGCTTATCTCCAGTCCATTTTTCTAAAGGAGCAACTTCCTTCAGCTTCTTCGTTGGACACCTATTCAGAATATATGCTCATGTGGCAACAACTTCTCTCCACAACACATGAGGTAGCTTTTTCTCTTTCAGCATGCTTTTAGTCATATCAAGCAAAGTTCTGTTTCTTCTTTCAGCAAGACCGTTGTGCTGAGGAGTATATGGAGCAGTAACCTTATGTTCTATTCCATTCTCCTCACAGAACTTCTGAAACTCTGTAGAGTTATACTCACCTCCACCATCCGTTCTCAGAATCTTCAACTTCTGACCACTCTGCTTCTCAGCCTTCACTTTGAACTTCTAGAACTCAGTAAACACTTCATGCTTAAACTTGATGAGTGTTACCTATGTCATTCTTGTGAACTCATCCACAAAAGACACAAAATATTTATTTCCTCCAAGTGAAGATACTGGAAATGATCCACACACATCTGAATGTACTACTCCCAGAGCATGTTTCGCTCTGGGGGCTACTTCTTATGCAAATGGCAATCTGGGTTGTTAGCCTTTCATGCATATTTCACCTGACTTCTCAGGCTTCACAATCTTCTAAATACCATGTACAAGCTTCTTATAACATAGATATCCTAGGCTTCTATAGTTCAAGTGCCCCAATCTCTTACGCCACAACTTATTGTCACCTTCAGCGCCTTCTGTACTAAGACACGTTGCTTCAGCTGTTTCTACATTCACTTTGAAAGTTCTGTTGCTTCCCTGTTCAGACTTCATAATCAACTTCTGATTGGAGTCATACAACGTCTGGAGATTGTTGTTCATAACAATTGAGAAACCTTTCTCAATCAGCTGACCCACGCTCATCAGATTTCTTTTAATACTGGGAATATACTAAACGTCTTTGATCATAATGTCTTTCCCATTCTTCACTCTAACTTTGACATCTCCCATACCTTTTGCATTAAGATACTTATCGTCATCACATCTAATCTTTGTTCTCCTTCTGGAGTCAAAGTCTGTCAACCATTGTTTGTTTCCAGTTAAGTGATTTGAACAGCCAGTGTCCATATACCACCAATCTTCTGAGCATTTTCTATTAGAATCAGAAGTCATTAGTAACACAGGTTCATCATCGGAGTTTCTCTTAGCCATATACGCTTCTTCTGATTTCCTTTCCTTGTTTGACCTACAATCTCTGGCAAAATGGCCAAATTTTTTACAAGAGTAACATTGAACTTTCCTTTTGTAATACCTCTCCTTTCCTTTATGATATCTCTTATCATCAAAAGTTGAGGTTTCTGACTTCTGGAATCTATCACCACGTCTATTCTGCTAAGGTTATGATGAATTTATGCAATGAAATTTGTAAAGATGGAAGCATGCAAGTTTTTAAGAAATTTTCAAGTTTATTAAGATGGAAGGTTGCACTTATAGCTAAACAAAAATTCTTAATAAATCGTTGTGATCTTAATGTTCATCTCAATATGTGAAGATGATCATATGTATCTAATTTCAGTGTTTGTAACAAACATCTGAACACATTAGGAATATTTCTTTCATTTTAATTTGTTTCTATTTGATTTTGAGTATTTTTAGTGTTCCTTATTTATATCTTTCCTTTTTCCAAGTTAATATGTTTCCATTTTTTTGCTATTAATTAGTCAATCTATTTTGGAATATTTTATTATTTATTATATTTTTTTGAATAAAAAGTTTTAATTTTTGATCTTACTTGATTTTGCCTCTGAATGTAATGAGTTTTTATTAAATTGT